GCGGGACCACCCAGAGCTGGTTGCCCAGGACCATGCCCAGATGGTTCTGAGCATCCCCACAAACGGAGCCTCCACAGCCTTTCTGGTCAACCCATGCTAGTGCTCGAAGAGGAGGAGGAAGGTGCAAAGCACCCCCATGCAAAGAACTGACCTAACTCCCACCACCGATTTGCGCTGGGAAGCACAGCCCCAGGGGACCTCCCAGCTGCAGACACTGGATTTTAAATCTACATTTGCAATATCCTCTCTGGAGCACGCGATGAGGCCAAGGGACACGCACTCACCCAAATTTTCTAATTAACAGGAATTTTTCACCTCGATGGGTCGAGCACGAGCAGAGCGTTTCCAGCCCCCAGTCTGCCGGTGTTTGATCAAGGTGCCCCGGGTCCTGCTCCCAGCGGGGGGTCACAGGTACGAAGGCCCATACCAAACAGGAATTACTCAAGGTTTCTTCTCGTTGGAAGCCTGGGGTGCTGCTGCTGTTGGAACTTCACGTGGGTTTGGCAGCTGCCGAAATCTGAGGAGAGGTTTTGGGAAGGCTGCCCTTCCAGCTCCCCCGCAACGATGATGAAGTTGAAAGCCAAGCTGGAACAGAAGCAGCAGAGAGAACCCCCCACCTACGCCAAGACACAATTGTGTCCGTGCCATAATTTAACTATTTTCAGGAATTTCACCCATTTTAAATGAAAAGCATCAATTCCAGTATCCTTAAGGAGCTTTTCTCTGGGTTTTTTGCAGGCCAGTGCCCGCCGGCTCTGGCCTGACAGTCTCCAGTCATTGTGCAACTGGGTTCAAAAGGCACTGGCGGGGGCTTGCCTAGTGAGAAATAGAGAGAGAAAAGGGGGGGGAAGAAAGGAAGGAAGAAGTTTTCCTTTCACTGAATTATGGATTAATTATTCTTACTGCACTCCGCAAAGTACCACACTGCTTAATGACAGCCCATCAAAATGGCCAAGAGCCTGCTGATGTGCATAAGATGCAGATCCAGGCTCTGCTGTGGTCTGTCAGTGCTGCACTCAGCTGCCGGGAGGGAAGCAAAAGGAAAGGAGGAGTAATCATGTGCAAAGAAAAAAAAAAAAAAAAAAAAAAGCCAAACCACAAACAACCCACCACCCAAAAAAACCTGTAGCTTAACCATAATTTTTCATCAGCAGCATGCGAGAGCAAGGGGATATTTGTTCTGTTAGAAATGCTTATTTAAAAATTCCTTTTAGAGTTAATTTTTCCTCCTGAAGGCTGCTTTAAAAATCAATCCCCTCTGTAAAAGAGGAGGAAAAAGCAGTATTTTTTCAACACAGAGTTTTGTATTTCATCTGAAGTTAACGTAACGTGGCTCCCTGACAAAACCATACAATGCCGGATTGCTAGCGCTACCCTTACATGATGAAGATAATTGATCCATGGTACTTTTCAAGAGCTATTAATGTTAAGAATTACTTATTCCACCAAATGAACATTATAAAAAATTAATAGTATGCAGATCACCATTATTGCAAAAGCCTCTGGGCCTTACAGGGCAAGTAATCGCAATTATTCAAAAATATTACTGAAGTCAAATATTTTTTTCTTTTATTTTCATTTTTCTAATCTCGTTTTCCACGCTTTTAGAGCACCTGCCTCCAGCGTGCAAATGCCGCTGCGTTTTGTGATCTGCCTCTAAAAACGTGCACCAGCCTTCCCCGAGGAGAGGTCTGCCCCGGAGCCGTCAGTACCGTCCCCACGCCGCGCGCCCCGGAGCCGTCAGTGTACCGTCCCCACGCGCCCCAAGGGCAGGGGAGGTTGCTGGGATGCTCCCAGCCACTCTACCAGCTCCTCGTGGGGACTGGAATACGGGGCCGAGCCCCAGCGCGCTTGGGAAGCTTCTTTACAGACATTTTTCATTTGCAACAGGGGGTGACATCATTTGATTTTAGGTATCCGCTTGACGAACGCTCACACAGAGGTTGGAGCACCAGCAGAGACGTCGGACCGATTTATGCTGCAAGGCCGGGCCGAGCCGCACGGAGCTGCCTCTCTGGGCAGGGAGAGATGGACAGGGAGTGGGAAAGGTCTAAACCTCCTCCAGCTCCTTCCCAGCCTCCTAAATCCACACCCGGTCAAAAAGGCTGGATGGCGGCTGGTCCCAGCTCTCCCAGTTCACCCAGCCACGGCGGCAGC